ACCAGTCCACACCATGACATTGCAAGTGAAATCAATGGATAATAAAAATCAAAACAAAGAGTTCCTAATGTCTAAGATTTTGTTTTGTTGATTTTTTAATTTTGTGTTGGATAAATGTTATTCTATCATTCTAAGACGGCTTCGATGCCTTTTAAGTACGTTAGCGACTGCTGTGAGCTGCAAAGCATGATGGTAAAGAATAACTCATGCATTCAAAGTTATGTTTTTATTCCGTTAATTAGATAATACTTTTACCGGGCTCAATGTTCTACATAATATTCTACACACTGAAGGTACATTATAGCCATTATACGTTCAGCACTCCACATCTCTCAATACAATGCAGCAAAACACATCCTTGAACACTTAAAAGCTCTTTGTAAACCCATGTTAGCAGCAGATAATTGCAGTGACAGTGCTCGGCTATATTTTCTCATGGCTAATTACTTTGTTCCATTAATATGCGGTAGTCGAAGTCATTCAGAAACCACTAATTGGATTTGCAGAATCCTCTCCCGCTTCTTTTCCACAGAAAGACAAAAGATTGGATTGGCTTCGTCAAATATCCCTGTGCAAACATAATGCAAGGCTGGGGATTAACACTCGGCCTCGTCACAAAATCCATGAAGCACATTAGAAACCCAAATGGAAAAAGAGAATCCGTCCTGGAGTCGACTGGGCTGAACGCCGCTGTTCTGTGTCTATTGTTCCGTGCAAAGATCCATCTGTCTTCTCTAAACTCACTCTCTAGGACTCGTGTTGGTCATTTCTATATATTTACATCTGTAATCGTGAGACTGTTAGTGGTAGGGGAAATTGAAGCACCCGGAGGAAACCTTTGCAGACACGGAGAGAACATGCAAACTCCACTCAGGAAAGGCCTGTCTGGAGTTGGACTCGGACCCAGGACCGTGTTGCAGTGGGGCACAAGATTAGATAAAGATGAAGATGAAGAGAGCTTTCATTGGTCCCACAGCGAAATGTCAGTGTTGCATCATCAGTTACAGAACAGTAGGAATGAAGAGCAAACAGCACAAGATACATGAACAATAACTTTAAACTGAAATAAAATATAACATTAATAAATCCATCCATCCATTTTCTTCCTCTTAATCCATTTCTGGGTCGGGGGGTGGCAGTCAGACAAGGTCTCGTGGTGGGCTTAAACCCACAACCTCATAGGCCAATGCTCTACCAACTGAGCCACTGTTGCCACCCAAAATAAAAATATCCAACAATGTCAAAATGTAGTATATTGTAAGCCTTGGAAAAGAGCCAACAAACCATGTGAGTTCTACTTCAAAATCCTGTTAGTTGTGGTGCTGGGTTCACTAATGCTTAGAAGTTTATTTCAATCTGACAAAAGTGCAAAGAACCTAGTTCTGCTTAATTACCACATGTTTAGGCCCAGTTTAGAAGGAGGCGCTGCGCAGACGTTGCCAAGCTATTAACAGAAACGACCAGGCTTCTAATGCAAATTTCACAGCGTTCATACGAGGATCAAAAACTATGTAGTTCCAGCGCCCGGCCAGTAGTGGGCAGAGAAAGTTCACAACACGACACACGCAACCCCCAGACCCCCCCCCCCCCCCAGTATACTCACTTCCTCTGGAAGACGTGAACGATGCACCTACATCATTCTGCATTTAACAGCAGCTGTGAAAATGGAAACTGAACCTAGAGCTTCGCCTGGTCTCGTTTGGAGGAACAAAGGTGGAGAATTATCCTCTGTGTAGCGCTCGAAGCCCACGTAGCTAGTTAGTGTACCCGCCGCCATTGTTGTTTACAATTGTTCTCGGCTACTGCGCATGTCCAAATGTATGTGCGGGGAGGTGGGGGTCAGATCAGGCCAAGAAGCACACCTTTTTCCTGAAAGAGCCCCCGCTGAGCAGCGTATCTGAGCTTCCCACTCTGCAGGCTGGATCTGAACACTTACGTTTTCACCCCCCTGGAACACAGTCTCCGTATGAACGAGGGGTAGCAACCGACTTCCAACTATAGCGTTTTACTGCATTGTCTCTGTGTAAACTGGGCCTTAGACTTCCGCCTTTGTCAGAGACTCGTGATGGTGACGTGTCTCTGATCAGCTGTTGTTACCAGAATGCAGCCACATCAGACTGACCGAGGTGTGAGCCAAGGTGAAGGCCCTCCCGTCTCTGTTGATGGTCCGTGTGCATTCCAATCTCGTATCCATCACATTTATGTTCTTCCGTTCCTACTATTTTCGCATTGTCCCTGTATTCTGTAATTCTCTCTTCACTTACGAAGGTTCCCTCGCTCTTGTACGGTCAAAGAGATGCTTCAGATGTTGCTTATTCAGACCAAATAAGAAGGACCAGGGAGGGGTAAAATATCTATCCCTGAGAATCTGTATCCCTGTTAAACACTTAAATGTATTTTGTTTCTGTAGCACAAAAGTTTTCTTACGCTGAACCTGTTTTAAAATCAAAAGCAAAACACTGGGGCTAGGATTTCACCACAGATATTCCTTATTCTTCTGAATATTTATTTTAACCTCATCTCAGTATCGGCTTAAATGATCTCCCTGTATTATTGTTATCTTCTTCTCTTTGCTTTTGTCTTGCCACTTTGAATAGAATAGAACAATATTAGTGTCTCTGCGTTTATAATCTTTGCAGAGACAGGATTAAGTGTGCCTTTGTAGAAAACACATTGAAAAGCAGGAGTGGATTAAACCTTTGCAGTTCAGTGGGTCGTAGAGAGAACGTCGAAACCTTTACCACAGCCTCCACTCTGCTGAACTCTGCCGCTGGAGAAGGGCACTCGCTGGTTCATTGTAGTGGAAGCGTAAAAACAAAACACAGTCATGGCTGGTGAGTAAGTATCTGTCAGGATCCAGCCAGGACAGTGTCAGTGTCTGCAGCTGTGACGTAGAGTTGGAAGTCAGTGGTCGTGAAATACTCTACCGCTCACGTCAAAGCATCATCCTCTTTAAAGGACACGTATGATGCAGGTCTGGATGGTTTTTCTGTCAAGTCCATGTCCTGGGCTCTTTGGCTCATGTTCAAAGTTGGCCACCCACAAAATTACTGGATTTCTATCATTGTGGCTAGTTCCAGGGCTCTCGGACTCATTCTTTATAGCTCCATGCATCAATGTTTGTCACAAGAGTACCCTAATTGGCAAAAATATGTCCCTCTACTTTTACATCCTGAGATACTGTCGATCAGAGCAGGTTTCTTGCCCTTCGTGCTCTGTAGGTGATTCTTATGTTTGAAATACATATGTAACTATTATTATGTGAACATGTGAACTAAGCATTTTCATGAAAGGAACAAATAAATACGTAAATACAAATACAATACTCATAGACTGATTATAAATTTAAGTCAAAGCACTTCAGGAAGAATGTCTTACTCTTTAAAGCACAGTTCTGTGGAATTTCAGGTGTTCTTTAGTTGTATGTGTTGTAATTGTTTGGGTTTCTAATCAACATTTCCGTGACACCCTTTGAGACGACAGTTGTTGTGATTGAGCAAAACAAAGATACTGATTTCATTTTTTCCTAAAGGTAAACACCAATCCCTCTTTATAACTGTATCGACACTGACAGCAGGAGATGCAGTCCTTCGACAATAGATAGAAATATATTTGAAAATGCGGTCTCTTCACTCGTCCTTTTATTGCTGTTTTCTCCAGAATGAAATCACTCCATTCATCCAATATTGTTTTTTCCTATAGCCCTTCATATTAAAGGGACACATTACCATTCTGCTGGGTTACTGCATAAACAGTATGACTATTCCAAACCGCACCTTTATCATTATTGGAAACATAAAAGGAGCTCATAACCCTCCACCCAACCCCCCCCCCACCCCCACAAACCCCCTCAGGCTACTGTTTACTGTCCCTCTTAGCTTCGTAATTAGCTTCTGAAGCAGGAGGACGGACCCGTTTATGGTGCGTTTAATTCCATTAGCGGGAATAATGTACTTGTTGTCCCAGTGCACGTCTCTGGCCAGTATGATGGATGAAGAGGGGCTTCCTCGGTCAAAGGGTGTTTATTTCAGCAGCCCCCTACCCCCCTGACAGCCTCTTCATATCTCCTCGTGATATAGAGGGCTGACCCGGCGACACCACCGTCTCCTCTGCAAAAGATAGTCCCTTCCTTTTGAAATCCAGCGGAGCAGCAAATTCAGGAGGCATGAAGCGGCTAACCCTTCTGTCTCAGGTTGCAGAGCTGGGGGAGAAATGGGGAGGTGTAGATTAGGTGTCATCAAAAGCGGCACAAAAAGACAGGGGGGATTATGCCGGGTTCAGAAAGGTTGGGCTTGTTTTAGTGCCGGAGTGCAGCACAGAATCCATACTTCATCCTCAAACAGCGAGAGAGCTGATTTATGCGACTGAAGGGCCAGGCATGCAGAAAGTTCAGCAGAGAAAGAGAGAGCTTTGAAAAGTTAGGCCTGGTCTGTCCACGGTACTGCGGGAAGTCTCGCTCCAAGACAAAAGAAGAAGAAAAGACAATGAGCAAAACACACTGTCGGGTCCTCAAACATGTGCTCGACCACAAAAGAAGCGAGTCTCAGAAAAGCTGCTGGACTCTGATTCTCTTGTGGCCATATTTGAGCAAACCCTGTTCCTTTGTCGCAATCAGATGGGTTGTTTTTTAGATTTTATGGAAATGGAAATGGCCTCCACCACATCCCATCTCCATTGGATCAGAATATCTTTGTATAATTTTTACTATGGGATATTTGATATGTAATGGCATCAGCAGCAGCACAATAAGATTTGTGATCGTTCTGTTCTGTATTTGTTTGAAGCTTTCCTTTCCAGAAAACCTCGGTTCATGGATATTATTATTATTATTAATGTTAAACTATTACAAACTGCTTAACGCAAACCCCTGGCCTAATGTTTATTTATCGCATGATTAACCCGAGTATGTTTTTGGACTGAAAGCTGCGTCTATTTTGGGCTGAGAAGTGCCTGGTCGAGTCAGGGTGAGGGTGAAGGTGCGGGTGTGGGTGAGGGTGAGAATGAAGGTGAAAGTGAGGGTGTGGGTGAGGATGAGGGTGAAGGTGAGGGTGTGGGTGAAGGTGAGAGTGTGGGTGAGGGTGTGGGTGAGGATGAAGGTGAGGGTGAGGATGAAGGTGAGGGTGTGGGTGAGGATGAAGGTGAGGGTGTGGGTGAGAGTGTGGGTGAGGATGAAGGTGAGGGTGAGGATGACGGTGAGGGGTGTGGGTGAGGATGAAGGTGAGGGTGTGGGTGAGGATGAAGGTGTGGGTGAGGGTGTGGGTGAAGGTGAGAGTGTGGGTGAGGATGAAGGTGAGGGTGTGGGTGAGGATGAAGGTGAGGGTGTGGGTGAGGATGAAGGTGTGGGTGAGGGTGTGGGTGAAGGTGAGAGTGTGGGTGAGGATGAGGTGGAGGGTGAGGATGACGGTGAGGGTGTGGGTGAGAGTGTGGGTGAGGATGAAGGTGAGGGTGTGGGTGAGGATGAAGGTGAGGGTGTGGGTGAGGATGAAGGTGAGGGTTTGGGTGAGGGTGTGGGTGAGGGTGAGGGTGAGGGTGTGAGTGAGGGTGTGGGTTTGGGTGAGGGTTAGGGTGAAGGTGCGAGTGTGGGTGAGGGGTGAGGATGAAGATGAGGATGAAGGTGAGGGTGTGGGAGTGGGTGAGGGTGAAGATGAGGGTGAGGATGAAGGTGAGGGTGTGTGTGAGGATGAAGGTGAGGGTGTGGGTGAGGATGAAGGTGAGGGTGTGGGTGAGGGTGTGGGTGAGGATGAAGGTGAGGGTGTGAGTGAGGATGAAGGTGAGGGTGTGAGTGAGGATGAAGGGTGAGGGTGAGGATGAAGGTGAGGGTGTGGGTGAGGATGAAGGTGAGGGTGTGGGTGAGGATGAAGGTGAGGGTGAGGGTGAGGATGAAGGTGAGGGTGCGGGTGTGAGTGAGGATGAAGGTGAGGGTGTGAGTGAGGATGAAGGTGAGGGTGAGGATGAAGGTGAGGGTGTGGGTGAGGATGAAGGTGAGGGTTTGGGTGAGGATGAAGGTGAGGGTGTGGGTGAGGATGAAGGTGAGGGTGTGGGTGAGGGTGTGGGTGAGGATGAAGGTGAGGGTGTGGGTGAGGATGAAGGTGAGGGTGTGAGTGAGGATGAAGGTGAGGGTGTGAGTGAGGATGAAGGTGAGGGTGAGGATGAAGGTGAGGGTGTGGGTGAGGATGAAGGTGAGGGTGAGGGTGTGAGTGAGGATGAAGGTGAGGGTGTGGGTGAGGATGAAGGTGAGGGTGTGGGTGAGGGTGTGGGTGAGGATGAAGGTGAGGGTGTGGGTGAGGGTGTGAGTGAGGATGAAGGTGAGGGTGAGGATGAAGGTGAGGGTGAGGGTGCGGGTGAGGATGAAGGTGTGGGTGAGGATGAGGGTGAGGGTGTGAGTGAAGGTGAGGGTGTGGGTGAGGATGAAGGTGTGGGTGAGGATGAAGGTAGTAAGTAAGCTTTATTTATATACCGCCTTTCACAGACCAGAGTCACAAAGCGGTTTACAATTGTTATTTTTTTGGGCATTTGTCTCTCACTCCACACAGAGATGGGAGCGGGGTCGCCGAACAGGAGGCGCATGCCAGACCTATTGTACATATTTTTAGTGGTAGGGAAAACCGGAGTACCCGGAGGAAACCTACGCAGACACGGGGAGAACATGCAAACTCCACTCAGAAAGGCCCTGGTCCGGCCGGGATTCGAACCCAGGACCTTCTTGCTGAGAGGCGAGAGTGCTATCCACTCAGCCACCGTGCCGCCCAGGTGTGGGTGAGGATGAGGGTGAGGGTGTGAGTGAAGGTGTGGGTGTGGGTGAGGGTGTGAGTGAGGATGAGGGTGTGAGTGAAGGTGAGGGTGTGGATGAAGGTGAGGGTGTGGGTGAGGATGAAGGTGAGGGTGTGGGTTTGGGTGAGGGTGTGGGTGAGGATGAAGGTGAGGGTGTGGGTGAGGGTGAGGGTGTGGGTGAGGATGAAGGTGAGGGTGTGGGTGAGGATGAAGGTGAGGGTGTGGGTGAGGGTGAGGGTGTGGGTGAGGATGAAGGTGAGGGTGTGGGTATGGGTGAGGATGAAGGTGAGGGTGTGGGTGAGGATGAAGGTGAGGGTGTGGGTGAGGCCTATCAGATTATTCATGGATTTCTACTATGTAAAAAGGTCTATACACTGCAGAGGCAAAGACACAAGCAGAGAGTAGATATTAAAATCCAAATACTTTCTTTTTGGAGGGGATTGGTTTTATATTCACTGTTTGCTTCATATCTTTTAAACCCAAAACAAGAGACATTTAGACCAGGGACAAATGTGAGATCAACGATGACAATATTTATATAATATTTCAATCATTTGACAGCATTCATTTGTATATTTACTGTATATGGGCGAATGTGCAATTTTTTTAGAGTCATACCCAAAGAAACTTGCTGCTGTTATTGCAGAAAAGAGCATTCCACAAAGTATGAACTATGAACACTTTTTACAGTCTTCTCTTACTTGTGTTGGAATTTTTAGTAAAAAAGTTGAATCAAATCTTTGTTTATGGTTGTAATTATGACAAAATGTGCAACCGTTCAAGTATTTTCCATTTTCCATGCCATGAATATATGGAGGCACTTTCACTGCAGCGATGTGGGAAATGATATGAATAAACGACATGGGAAAACTTGAACAGATTCATAGTAAATGTAAATGTATACAAACCCTGATGCTATAACATTATGCACATGCACACAGCGCTAACGTCTCTTCATTTGGGACATCACTGAGAGATAATTGCCGCCTGTTCGTTTCCAAACATCAGCATGTTAAAGTCCCATCTGACCCACGTCTAATTACAGCAATATTACATTTCTCTTTCCACCGCAGACATATTCAAGACTCCATATCACGCCACATGTGTAATCTAATCCTCTTCGCCGACAAAAAGGAGAAATAATACAGGAAACAATCTCTACCACTGGTTTTACGCTGGGTGTTGATTCGCTTCTTTAGGAGGAGGGAGGCTGCGGTCGCCATGGAAACTGTGGTATTTTCTGCTTCCCGTATGAAGAGGCACTGTGAAGATTGGCATTGAAGTTGGCAGCTGAGGCGGCTCGTGGTTCTCACAGAGGAGAAGGTGGGAATGTGGAGAGTGTTAGCAGGTAAATTGCATTACTAAAAAGTACAGCTATAGCTTCGTGTGAGAGACCGGGACAGAAGAGCGGATCTCGTGCTGCTAACGACTTCACTTGTACGTTGGCGGAAAAAAACAGTAGCCGTGTGTCGAATGGAAATGTCAATTTTAACACACAGTGATCTGAATACATGATACATTATAAGATAAGATCAGATAAACCTTTATGTCATTGTTGGACATACCTAAAGTGTGATTGCATTTTATCACTATTGTTAGCTACTTGGAATGATGGAATCTGTCTCTCTCTCGCTCTCTCTCTCTCTCTCTCTCTCTCTCTCTCTCTCGCTCAGAACACAGGATCTACTGTTTAAGATAATAGATTATAAAACTCTGGAGCTATAATTGCATTTGGTTCAAGGATAAGTCACATGTGGAGAATACTATCAGCCAATGGGCTTTCTCTGTGCTGCATCCGATTCTGGAACACAATCCCAGTCCACATACGAAAGAGCGCCACACTCAGGACTGTAAACACTTGTTAAAAACATGGTTATTGGACAATCAAACTTGTAACCACTCATTTGAAGTATGCCTTTGTATCCACATATTGAGAGAGGGATCCGCTCCACACAGACGGACGGGCTACAGATCCAGGACTGTAAAACAAGGACCAAGGCCACATGGCGCAGGACTGGTGCAGGACTGAAGCAGGACTGAAGCAGCTCCCGGCGAGGAGAGGGTGCAGCCCCACAAGGCGGGTCGGGCGTGACAGTCCGCAGGTGCAGATGGAGGTTCAGGGGTACCATTGTCAAGCCATGAAACAGACAACGGGTGAATAGCAATGAACAGACTACACTCAAAATTCTAATAATGCAGACAGATAAAGTAGGAAGGAGGAAAGGAAGTGCTCAAGTTACAATACTTCTTCCAGCAAACTGACTCCATACGCAGCTTGACTGACAATCTAAGATTTTTTGTCTTTCCTGAGTCTTACCTGCAGTACAGACCAAAAGTTTGGACACACTTTCTCATTCAATGTGGTTCCTTTCTTTTCATGACTATTGACTGTAGATTCACACTAGGCTGTGTAAGGGCTGTTTGACCAATAAGGAGAGTGATGGTGCTGGGCCACATGACCTCCACAGTCACCGGACCTGAACCCAGTCCAGATGGTTTGGGGTTGAGCTGGACTGCAGACTGAAGGCAAAAGGGCCAACAAGTGCTAAGCATCATGGAAACTCCTTCAAGACTGTTGGAAGATTTCTTGAAGCTCATCAAGAGAATACCAAGAGTGTGCGAAGCAGTAATCAGAGCAAAAGGTGCTACTTTGAAGAACCTAGAATATAAGACATATTTTCAGTTGTTTCATACTTTTTTTTAAAGTACGTACCTGATTCCACATGAGTTATTTCATAGTTTTGATGCCTTCAGTGTGAATCTACAATTTTCATAATCATGAAAATAAAGAAAACTCTTTGAATGAGAAAGTTTGTCCAAACTTTAAAGAGGACTGTTTTAAGCCTGGGTTTAAGTTGGCATTGCACAAAATTTAGAATAAAAAATTGTGTCCTACACTTTTCCCCTGGTGCTACTTCCCAGTTTGCTGCGTAAGTAAGTAAGTAAGTAAGTAAGTAAGTTTGTATTTATATACCGCCTTTTCACTGCAGATCTGAGTCTCAAAGCGGTTTACAATTGTTAATATTGGGCATTTGTCTCTCACTCCACACAGAGATGGGAGCGGGGTCGCCAGTACAGGAGGCGCATGCCAGAACTATTGGACATATTTTTAGTGGTAGGGGAAACCGGAGTACCCGGAGGAAACCTACGCAGACACGGGGAGAACATGCAAACTCCACTCAGAAAGGCCCTGGTCCGGCCGGGATTCGAACCCAGGACCTTCTTGCTGAGAGGCGAGAGTGCTATCCACTCAGCCACCGTGCCGCTGCCAAAACTGCGTTGTCAGTTTTGGCAGCTTCACACATCTTCGCTTCTAAATCACAGTGAAAATACTTGGTTTTACGACGGCTCAAAGTGCAGTGGTGGGATCAACACAATTGGATTTCCATTAACCCGAAAGCACTTGCATCCGTGTTTCCATCCTTTCCTTCTTACATTTGATTCTAGCGGGAGCTTTATTTCCCCGTGAAGCGCTTTGTAACCAGGTTTGAAAGTGCTGCACGAATAAAGTTTATTACATAATGCAGGCGGCGTGGATACAGCTGAGCCCTCTGGAAAACGGGTCTGCTTCTTTTGGATCGCGGCGATATGAGCATCGGCCTCGAAAGTACCTGTCCACATTGATCAGTCACGCGGTGGGTGTGCTGTAAGGGGTGGGGGGCTGGGGAGGCAGGTAGTGATGGGGCCAGTGGTTATCAGAGCGAAAGGCTGTGAAGATGGAGGAGCGAGGCCCGGAGGAGGCTGCTCACTGGTCGCCATGTCTTCAAGTTAAAACATAGATACTTTGTTTAAATGCAGGTGTCCAGCAGCAGAAAAACACGTCCATCCATACAAACAAACATGGACATCATTTGAAAATAACAATAATAATAATTCTTTGGTTTTATTGTAGCTCTTTTCACATTGTGTTATTCTTTCACTCCAAACACAGTGGGGATAAACTACTGTAGCCACAGCTGCCCCGGGACAGACTGACAGAAGCGAGGCAACCTACTAACAGATACAAAGTCATTATTTTTGATAAATATGTTTGTGAAGCATGTTAAAAACTTCCAAGCGCTAGGTTGCTTATGGTAAAGGAAGATATTTATTTTGTAAAATCAGAGATGTAAGAAGGGGTGGGATTACACAAGTTTATTTTAACTTCCTCCCACTCCTATTTTGGACATTGATGGTTTATTTATTTTGCTTAATCAATTTATATTTACATTGCTTTTCTTTTGTTTTTCTCATTTCAAATGTCCAAATAAAAACATTCATTCATTCAAACTCACCCACCACCACCAACCATTCACACACAAACACCAGACTCATTCTAATGTGGGGGAAGTGTCTTGCCTAAGGACACAACCACAATTTGGCACTTTACAACCGCCCCTGGTGTTCCCAGAGGTCTCCCATCACAGTACGAACCAGGCTCTACCTGGCTTACCTTCAGAGGTGTGATGGGATCTGGCCACAAAAGTTGTACAACAGAAGTACTGCTCCGCAGCTGCAGGTGGTGTAGGTGATGGGGATGTCTGCTTGGTTTGGATCATTTTCTCTTGAACTTTTGTCCACATCCTAATGAAACAAATCTTATTAAAACAAACAAACTGTATTTTCCAAACTTGTGTTAAAGAGCCCTGACCACGAGCTGATTGGCTGAGTGAGGGTGATGATCTGAAATAGCTGATCCAAAGCCATTTAGTAAGTTTGTGTCTAAACTCCTGATGTACCAAACACCTGCAGTGAAAGTGTCACGTCCGAAGCCATTGACCGGACATACACACATCGGGCGGCGCCAATTTATGGATTTTTTTGTAAATCAAATCTTACCAAGATTTAACTTTTTCAGTGTAGCTGTATCCGTGTGACTGATTAGTAGAACATTAAAAATGCTGTCACTTTCTGAGGTAAACCGTGTGATAAAGCCACATGTGCCTCTCTCTGTCAGAGCTCAGTGGTATTTGAACTATTCCCTAATGGCTCAGAAGGCGACACGCAGCAGTCGCGCGGCTTTGTCCACACTTTGCTAAACCCTTTACAGAGGCCGAGCCGTCAACCCCGGCCCATCAGGGTCCCAGCAGGCAGCTCTGGCCCATCAGGGTCTCAGCAGGCAGCTCTGGCCACAGACACAGAGCTCCAGGCTTCTCTGTGTTTCTCTTTGTCTTTCACTCTGTGCTTCTCTGTGCTCCTCTATCCTCCTCTCTGCTCCACTGGCCTCCTTTGTCCTCCTCTCTCCTCCTCTGGGCTCCTCTGTTCTCCTCTCTGCTCTCCTGTCCTCCTCTGTGCTTTACTGGCCTCCTCTCTCCTCCTCTCTGCTCCTCTGAGGATTACAGTGTCGTGGACCCGCTGGCGCCTGCTCCTCGGGTGGGTGCGGACCCCTGGGACCCCCGGCGGATCCCGGACCATCGCTGCAGTGGATAATTGACGCTGCTGTTGAGGCTGAATGGAGGTCACATGGTTCTGGTCACAATGCGGTCGTACAGTTCCACACAAAGCCCTGAACTCACGCTTACCTTTGACATTTGGGCTTTTGGATGAGACTCTTAATGTTGTTTAAGGATGTATAATAATGCTTTCTTTAAATTGTTGACACATATTTTATGTTTTCTCAACTTTCTGATATTATTCATGGGATATTACAGTTCAGAAAGTGTAAAAAAGTGGAGAAAACATTTTAGTCTTTTACTAAGTAATGACTAATAATGGGGCGACAGTGGCTCAGTTGGTTGAGCATTTGCCTTTGAGTCTGAAGATTGTAGTCCCACCACGAGACATTCTCCACTGAAGTCTGCTGTTGTTGAGTCCTTGGGCAAGACACTTAAACCCAATTTACCTGAAGCTCCAGCTGAAAGATCTGGGGATTGGGTCACTATCACCCCCCCAACCCAGGAGAAGAAAATGGATGGATTGAAACTAGCTTTGTAGCTATAATCTGGCATACTGTATTTAGATTGGTTTTATACTGATGTTCACAAATGTGCATTGACTGAATAATAATACAAATCCAAAATGTTCTTATTTTACAACATTTATGGACCAATGTGTTAGTTATCATTGCATTTCCTGTGTTTGAACCGTTTTCTGAGTTCCCAGCCATCTCTCTTATTCATGAGTTTACAGTAACATGAATCATTGCAAGTGAATTAGTCACCAGAGTCTGCAGTAAGACCTAGAGCCACAGTCCTGTCTCCAGAGAAGCCTTCACTGAGAGAACACACGGACCCAGACTTACTAAAGCAGGGACTATGTGACCGGATCAGGTTTTGGAAGCAGCTCTTGGGGACAACAAGAGGCCGCTGTGTGCTCTCTTTGACCAACGCCTTTTTACACTTTTCATCTTTGTGGTCTCAGACATGTAGATATTCATTCACATTCATTCTCTATGGGAGACTATACTACTTCTAATAAACTGTCTTCCTATTATTTAATGTCATAAGAATGATAATAATCTAAATTGGATTCATCCCCCATCCCCTGTGTCCTAGCACATGTTTCATCTGTAAACCTATTCGCACTGGATTAGTATGACCTGTGATTATCACAGAGGAGCCCTGAGATCTTAGTCCTGTGCAAATGCCCCATGTCTGTAATTTGTAAAGTAATAATTCCGCCGCAAATGACCTCCTATATTTGGCCAAACTCAGACGTCCAGTGATAATATTAATCCTGTCTGAATCTGCATGTCAGTGATTGTGAGCGCTATTACAGCCTTCTCTTCTTTCTGTGTAGCTTTTTGTCTATATCTTGCGCATTTTCATATCTCTTCCGGACTCAAACCATGGAGGCTGCAGCTAAAAAGTTGATTCGCAGTTTTGAAGCTTTTTAGCAGCAAATTTATAACAACTCGTACACAACGTAAGAGCTCGTGGCTGTGTACTCACCGGCAGAGCTCACCGAGTCGCGGCTGCTGCTGTCCCTCTTAGGTCTACTAAGTACGGACCAGAGAACTATAGAGCAGTAAAATCCCTGTGTATGTGTTTGTGCTCATGGTCTTTGGCTGCTGTGGTAAATCCCAGACTTTATGAAAGAAAAAGACAATGTCCAGAATCACTGTCAAACCTGCTCCTCCTGCTAAAGTTTAAATACAAGTGATGTGTGTGTGATCTAGTGCCAAGAACCATCAGCACAGAGATGTTTCCATGTGTTTTGATGCAAGGATCCTTTGGGCTGCATGAAGCGGAGAGACTCATGCACGTGTGGCCGGTATGTGATGTCCGTGAAAATATAGTCATTTACAGACTTTGCTTATCCCGTGTGAACGCGCTGCAAGTATCACAGAAGTGGGGCAGTAATGTGAAAATGACCCGAGGTCCACAGTTCATACTAATCCTGTGGGAATATGACGGATGAGAATGAGACACATGGAGACTCAAGTTTAACATGTGGGAATCACTTTTGAAGAATAAATGTGGATCTTGTCGAGGGTTGATTCTCTGAAGTGATGCCAGTTCAATCAGGAATACAATGGGAATGAAAGATGACAAGGTTTCAAACATTACTCAGATCAAAAAGGAACTAAAGCATGACATTATACATTACATACATACACAGTGTTCAGAGGCTAAAATACAGTATGTGACAAAAATATATATTTTTTTATAAGAAAGGCAATTTCTACTTGGAGTTAGCTATTTTCTCTCGTCCCTTTGGAAAATCATCTTTGACACGTTAACATTTGCTTGAAGTAAAATACTGGTCAAGATTCCAACTTATCTAGCCTGGTCTTACCACACTATTGTACTAATTTAATTTCGTACAATGGTGGGAGGGGTTAACTCCTTTTGCAGATTGAAACGTTTGGATCTGAGTTTACTATGACGAATGTAATGCACCCAAGTGAGTGAGACATTTAGCATTTTTCCTAGCTTTAGCATTTAGCCTAGCTTTAGCCATCTCCTCCGCCACTAACAGAGCCTGTGAGGAGTAGAGCCACAACATATTTGCAGCAAAGAAACTTACTGAACTTTCCTCTTGCTCCAACTTCAATATCTTGATATTGGGATTGAACCAGAACAGATTACTTTACTATCGCATTCGCCGCCAAACTACAACCAGCAAATTTGGCGCAAACTCTTGACGTCACCGACACCTCCCTACAACACCCGCCTCCCCCACTCGCTGATTGGTCGGAGGGGATTCAACCGAGGAAACTTCAGCCACTTGGATCAGATCCAGACGTACATGTAGGAAATGATCATAGGCCGTAGTTTACAGATGGATAAGGCCAGGCAATAACAGAGTCTAGGTCCAATTTAAAACCTACAGACAGACAAGAGTGTGTCGGTCAAACTGTAGCAGCGATAGGACGTTGAGAGTTGTATTGTTGTGTTATTTTCTTTGCCCTTGTGTTGACTCTTCACATTTGCATTTTACAGTTTGTTTACCTCGTTGCTTACATCACACCTGTCATCACACGCAGCTTCTTACAGAGATTGTGTGCGGACCCCCTGAAGATGAGCTCATCATATTTCCCAGCATGCAGCCAAATAACATTCTGATACTTTCTCCTATGGAAGCAGCCAGAAGCTTTGCACACGCACTCTCTGCCGGACAAATAAGTGTTTATGATGCTCTCCGTACCGGGAGAGCGGTACGGAGCACCCTACCCAGCGGGAGGGTGCCAGGGCAGCACTTTTCAAAGCAACTTGGTTATAGCTATTCCAGAAAAGAAGAAAATCTGAACATTATTAATTTTTAATGGCTTTGCGCTAGGTTCTGTTGATCCAGCTCGGCCTCAATGGGGAAAGTAAAAAAATATATAGACATTTACACGTGGCAGAATTAGCTTCTTGTACGAAGGGAGGAAGAAGCTGGAACAGGTCATAAGGAAGTCCAGCTACATCCCATCTATGCTGGACGATGACTGTCGCCCCCTGCAGGACACTTGTAGAGCAGCTTCAGTAACTGCTCCACCTGATGTCTATGAAGCAGAGGTTTTCACAGGGTCCCATTTTACGTCTGTGATATGGGACCAGACCAGTGGGGGCTGGTCCCGGCTAAACAAAAGGTCCATGAGAACGTGCGCTGACATGCTGTAATCTGACTCCTTGCCGATGGTCTTGTACCCGGAAATAGAATTATCCAATGAATTCTTCTTTCCCTTCAAAAACGGATTGTGGAAACGTCGCTCTTTGCCCAATGCTTGCCGTCAATTTGAAAAAAGGTTGGCGGGAGAGAAAAGTGAGAGACGGCGGAGAAAGCCGTCTCTACGTTTGTTTCTATTCACAGTCTATGGACCAGACGTGCCACTGTTGCTTTACTTTTAGCCCACATCCTGGCGCTGCTAACATGACCAGTAGTCGACACAGGGTCTTTCTGAGTGGAGTTTGCATGTTCTCCTCATGTCTGTGTAGGTTTCTTCCGGGTGCTCCAGTTTCCCCTATCACTAAAACATGTACAATAGATCTGGCATGTGCCTCCTGTAGGCGACCTCCCATCTCTGTGTGGAGTGAATGACAAAACCCCATAATAATTGTAATCGCTTTGTGACTCTGGTCTGTGAAAGGTCACTGTGAATGTTTAAACCAACAAAACAAATTACTTATTACTTCAACATTTCTGTGCTAGACTGTAGTATAGATTCATATTTGGATAAAACCAAATGTATTGTTTTAAAATGATTTATATTTTTTGCAACATAAGCTGGAGAGTTGTTGAGTCCACCTGCATCAGGCTATCTTTGAGCGTGTATATTTTTGCTCTTTTGACCCTGGCTTCCTTCCCCAGCCCAAGGAGCGGCCGCTGAAAGAGAGCCTTGTCTGGTGGAGTCCGGTCTAAAGTGCACATTTATGAAGGCGCTAGTTACAGACTGAATCCACAGGCTGTTAGAGGGCAGTTTTATTTGGCCTGGACTCTCAAAAGCCGCACAGACTCCTCATTGGCTTCTGTTCACTGCTCCACTTTGCACCGAGTGAGGAGAGGGGCCAGCTTCTCGGGCCACTCCTTTTAATGTGTATGGCCTGTGTGCTTCCTTTGGCAGAGAATGAGAGGACAGCATCTATTTGAGCTCGTCGAAGAGTTTTTCTGGCATCAGTCCTGTCGAGAGAGCGCTGGCTATTTGTAATTCAGATGAGGTCCTCGGAAAGCTTTGGGTGAAGTGACAATGAAGCGGTAATGCGAAGGAGTGCGTGTCTGAAAACACAGGCAGGTTTCAACAAGACTAGTCTGTTCTTTGGGAAGAAAATATTGAGCCACTTCGTTGTGGGGCGAGTATATTTGAGACATTGTAGCAATAGTTATTAAGTGCTGGTAAAAGACAAAGGCGAATGTTACATAGTACATATCTTTGTCTCTTTATCTCTAAGATGTGACAGAAGCCCAAAAAGCCTGCATGTGAAAGTTAGGGATCGAGCCGGGATGTACTTTTGTGGCTGGAAATTACAGTACCCCTCACTTATCTGATAGTAAATTCACGCTTCACTTAAT